CAAGGCCAAGTTGGACGGGGCTTGGAGCAACCTTGGCTAGTGGAAGGGGTCCCTGGGCTAGTGGAAGGGGTTCCTGCCCATGGCAGGGGGTGGAACAAGATGATCATTATTATCCCTCCCAACCCAAACCATTCTGGGATTGTGTGATTTTTAACAAAATGCTTTTAAAAGCAGCTTTACCTCCATGCACAGCAGGACCAGCCTGTGGTTTGTAGGCATCAGGTAACAACTTTAAACCTCCTTCCTGTGCACCTAAAGCAAATTTGAGCCACAGTTCAGCTGTTGGAACACACAACATTCCTCATTCTCATGTCCAGCTGAGCTGAGCAGCCCCAGTTTTGGCAGGGATTTGGGCTGAACACACATTTTTCCTTTGCATTGACATCCTGACATGTAAAAACTAGTCTAACATTAAATGCAACCACCTACAACCCTGGCAGGAGATTGAACTTGAGGTGAAACACAGGCTTTGGGGGAAAAAAAACCCAAACAACTTCATTTTTAAACCTTCTTTTACCAGGTCCTGGCTGTTCAATTCCTGTTCCTGCAAACCAGTCCTTTTGGACCCGGGAGGAATATTCTCTTCCCAAACTTCCCAGAGCATCCCACAAAACTGTCATCCATGACAACAAGATGTGGATTGTTGGGGGCTATGTCTTCAATCACTCTGACTCTCAGAAGGTTTTAGCGTGAGTATAAACCCAGATAATAAAATCTAAAAGGAGAGGAGCTCGGATTTGGGAGTTATTTTTAGGAGTGTGTGCTTTGCTTTGGCTCCATCTCCAGGGGACACCAGCCTGGATAAAAAACTCCAGGCTCACGTTTTGAGACATGGGGAAACGCTGCCAAGGGGGTGCTAATTTGGGAGAAGAAAAAGTGGAAGGTTCCTGATGTTCAGTGAGTTTTTGAATCATCTGTGTCTGACAGCTTTTTAAATATTCACTCTGCCTTTCTGGGCCACCTCCTGAATTATATCTCGGGTTAAAGGAGGGTTTTGCTTCCGAGTTTTTAGCCCTTATTTTTTATTTGTGTGACTTCAGAGGCTTTGGCTCCTTAATTAACACCTCCTGATCACCGTGGATGGTTTTCCATAATGGGTGGGATACAAACAGGGAATGGCATTTAGGATGAGGAAATTTAAGCAGCAACTGGAGGAGTTTTAACCGTAACTAAAACATCAAGTCATAATTGGGAAATCCCTCGTAAAAAACATCAATTTTTCAGGCTTCCCCTCAAGCTTGATGGTATTGGGGCAGAACTAGGCAAAAGCTGGATTTTTTTTTTCCAGGCATGGCTTTGTACCTCCCTTTGTACCTAAATGGGAGCTGTGTGTTCTGCACTCACATCCAGAGATAATAGTTCTTGTAGGGGAAATTAAAGAGGAGCTGAAAACACACATTTTTTTAATGGGATGCCCTATGGCTTTGTTGAACACTTTCTCAGGGATGATTTTATCTCACAAGGCTCTAAGCCTGACAGATACAGTGCATTATTTTAAATAAAGAGCCACAGGCCATTTTCAGGGCTGGGGGTTTGTGTTATTTCAAGCTTGAATGGCAAAAACATAATTAAAAAGTGCTTTTTGAGCACTCACAGGGGGTTTTTTTATCAAGTAGTTGGAACTTACCTGAGTCAGTGTGAAGTTTTTAGACTTTTTTGAGGGATGATGTGGTGTTGGTTGCCCCAGGTTAATAGACAATTCATTAACTCTTGGATTTGCATTGGAAAGGACACAGGGTAAAGCAAATCAATATGTGAATGCTGAGTAACAGAGCAGGCTGGACTGGGTTTTTTTTTAATCCATAAGTAGCTTGTGGGAGCTTTGTGCATGCTGGAATCATGGCAGGATTTATTATTTTAGTAAATAATAATTTATATCATGATATTGTTTTGGTAAATGATTCCCCCCAAATCTTGCAAAGGACAAGCCATAACTTCCCCAGCTTTAATACCTATTCATTGGAGGTTAATTCAGTTTTTATTACCCAGGTATGATCTTATTTCTGAGGAGTGGCTTCCCCTGAACAACTCTGTGAACTCGGTAGAGATGAGATATGGTCATTCCTTGGCATTACACGAGGTAAGTTCAGAATTCCAAACTCACTTCCCAGCTGATTTCTCCCTTCTTCCCCCTGGCTTCCCACCCCTTATCCCAGATCAGTCGTGTTTGGGAGAAGCATTTCTCCTTCCAAGGCTTGTCCATGGTTAGCCCAGGCTGTGTGCTCGTGCTCCAGAGAATCCTTGAGCTGCTGTCCTGGGAAGTCTGTGGTGCCTTTGCTTGTGTGTTCCTTGTTTGCCCTTTTTCCAGGGATTTTGGGGCTGTCTGAGGTCAGTGAGTCCATTATTTCCTCCTCTTTGCTGTCTGTGCTGGCAAGACACGCCTGAGGCAGAGTTTGCTGGAGTTCAGCTGCTTCCCAGCTGCCTTTTGTGTGGATCTCATAAATATTTTTATGAGCTCTGTTGTCCAAGACACCAAAGCAGAGCTGGGGAATCAGGGGTTTTTGGAACTTACTCTGCTCCTGCAGGAAAACTGTGAATCTGCTCTTCCAGCACCCACAGCAAGTGGATTTGATGCTTTTACCTGCCTTTCTCCCCCTCATGCCTTGCCCTGGGGGAGAGCAGGATGGCAAAGGCTTTGGAAGGGAAATGAGCTGATCCTTTCCTGACCTTTGGTTTTTTGGAATGTTAATTAGCTCATCACGGTGCAAAGCTTAATTATAAACACTCAAAAACTCCCCCCCAGCAGCAACACAGCTCTGTTCACAAACAGAGCACTTGAACAACCTGAAAGGATGGGAATTCATCCTGGCATCACAGAATGGTTTGGATTGGAAGGGGCCTTAAGGATCATCCAGTCCCACCCCCAGCCATGGGCAGGGACACCTTCCACTAGACCAGGTTGCTCCAAGCCCTGTCCAGCCTGACCTTGGACACTTCCAGGGATCCAGGGGCAGCCACAGCTTCTCTGGGCAACCTGTGCCAGGGCCTCCCCACCCTCACAGGGAAGAATTCCTTCCCAATATCCCATCTATCCCTGCCCTCTGGCAGTGGGAAGCCATTCCCTGTGTCCTGTCCCTCCATCCCTTATCCAAAGTCCCTCTCCAGGAGACTTCATCAAGTCTTTTTGGTTACTTCAGACCAGCAATTCATTCTGTACCCATTTCCTAAATCCCTTGGCCTTCTTCCACGTGTGCCTTTTTTTCAGGACAACATCTACATGTATGGAGGGAAGATTGATGCCACGGGGAACGTGAGCAGCCAGCTGTGGGTGTTCCACATCTCCAACCAGAGCTGGGCCCAGGTGGCTCCCAAGGCCAAGGAGCAATACGCCGTGGTGGGACACTCGGCCCACATCGTCACCCTGCGGGACAACAGCACCGTCATGCTGGTCATCTTTGGCCACTGCCCCCTCTATGGCTACATCAGCAACGTCCAGGAGTACAACCTGGGTGAGTGAGGCCCTCCCTGCCTCAGCTTTGCCTTGGTTTGGCAGTTCCTGAGCTTTTAATATTTGTCGAAACGAGCGGCCTCCGACTTCACCAACAACCTCCTGCAGCACTACAGGCTGGGGACAGAGGGGCTGGAGAGCAGCCAGGCAGGAAGGGAGATGGGAGTTTGGATTGACAAGAAGCTGAACAGGAGCCAGAGTGTGCCCAGGGGGGCGACAGGGCCAAGAAGTGATTCTGCCCCTGGACTCAGCACTGGTGAGGCCACCCCTGGAGTGCTGTGTCCAGTTCTGGGCCCTCAGCTCAGGAAGGACACTGAGGGGCTGGAGCAGGTCCAGAGGAGAGCAACGAGGCTGGGGAAGGGACTGGAGCACAATTGCTGGGAGGAGAGGCTGAGGGAGCTGGGGCTGTTCAGCCTGGAGAAGAGGAGGCTCAGGGGAGACCTCCTCACTCTCTGCAACTCCCTGCCAGGAGGGGGGAGCCAGCTGGGGGTTGGGCTCTTTTCCCAGGCAACCATCAGCAAGACAAGAGGGCTGGGTCTTGAGCTGTGCCAGGGGAGGTTTAGGTTGGAGATTAGAAAGAATTTCTTTGCAGAGAGGGTGCTCAGCCATTGGAATGGGCTGCCCAGGGAAGGGGTGGATTCTCCATCCCTGGAGGTGTTGAAGGACAGACTGGATGTGGCATCAGTGCCATGGGCTGGGAACCACAGCGGGGTTGGATCGAGGGTTGGACTTGATGATCTCTGAGGTCCCTTCCAACCCAGCTGATTCTGTGATTCTATGGTTCTATGGTTCTATGATTCACACCCTGGGGTAGCTCCCGAAAGCAAAAAAAAAAAATCTGTAGTGGAGACACAGAGCAGGAGAACTGGGGGAAGAACTGGATTTTCCTCTTTCCCTCAGGTAAAACAAACACTTCTGAAAGTTATCTTTTTGATCAGATTTTTTTCCGTAAGAATTTTTTTCATTCAGACCAAACACCTGCTTAACCTGACCCTTGTGTCGCCTAAGCAGGGGCTTAGGGTGAACAGGGGATGGATTTCTGGATTCCCATATCCCTGGTATGGTCTGATCCCCGTATCTCTGGGAATAGAAATGATGATTTTAAGATTCTGAGGGTGATTTTAAGATCCAGAGATTCCTAGTGAAGCACAGGAAGCTCTCCAGGTGAACTGAATTCCCTCCTAACTCTGAAGTGGAGTCACATCCCTGGCTCCAGGTGGGGATCATGGTTAAGCACAGGAAGCTCACAGCAGGAATGTGCTGGTTATTCTCAAAAATAGTGGCTCTGTCTGCACTTGGAACCTGTTATCCTTGTCTTCCAGTCATCCTGATCCGGGGAATCTGCTGGAGCTGCTTCTCTGGTGTCCACACGAGGGAGTTTTCTTCCTCTTGGAGAGATCCAGGGAGAACCAGGACGTGTGGGGCAGTGGTTTTTTTTTCCCACACTGTCCAATTCCTTTGTTTTTTATGTGCCAGCTCTGCCCTGGAGTTGGGAAGCCTGTGCAGGGTTTCATTCTGCACTTACTATGGAGATTTGCTGTGTAATTTGGCATTTTTATTCCAGTTGCTGTTACATTATGTCTAAAGTGTTTCAGACCAATGTTATTTTAGTGAGTGAGATACAGGACCATTAATCACATATTAGTTTTTAACTGCCCTGTTCTTCACAGTCAGACTTGGCTTCAAGTGCTGTCTGGCTTTATATATATATATTTATACATACATAAAAAGTAAAAGTGCTCTTGGGTCCCATTCCAAACCAGGTCCCAGTGCTGGCATTTTCATGTCACTGGAATGCAATCTATTATTTCTCTCTTTTTTATCTCTCATTTACTTAGATTGCCTGCAAAAACGTAATAAATGACCGTGAAAAAGCTGCTTCTGCTCTAATTAAAAATACTTTACAGTCCTTCTCGACAACAAACTCCTTGAAGGAGGATATTTTTGGCTGGGAGGTGATAGAGGCAGTGTGTAGAACTGAGTCAGGGGAATCCCAATTTGTGTTGCTGATGAGTTATTAATGGAGAGCAATTGATTGTGTTTTATCGCCCTGTTTTTTTCAGTGACAAATACCTGGAGCATTTTACAGACCAGTGGAGCTTTGGTGCAGGGGGGGTATGGCCACAGCAGCGTTTATGATCCCAACACCAGATCCATTTACATCCATGGAGGTTACAAAGCCTTCAGTGCCAACAAGTACAGGCTGGCAGATGATCTGTACAAATATGAAGTCGATTCCCGGATGTGGTAAGTGGCTTTTCCTTCTTTTTCCTCTTTTCCCACCCCATATTTTTGTCTCTAGTGAACAAGAGGGTGGAGGGTTTGAGAAGGGTGCAGTGGTTTATGTCTGCCTGCGTTCAGGAGAGATGCTGTTCTCTCGGATCTCTTATTTTTATATCCCTTTATGAATGGAGAATCATATAATCACATCTAATCAAGGCTGTGAACGAGCCAAGCAATCCATTTTAATCTGTTGTTCCATTCAAGCTGAAAAGAGAAATATTTGATGGTTTTTTCCTTGCCAGCCTGTGCATATGAGTGCAGTTACTGCAGTCAAGTGAGGGATAATTCACTCTGCAGTTAAGACTGTAAAAGAATTTCTATTACAACCCCATTTTCTTCTGGCTCTGTAACTCCTCGAAATGTTCATTTCTTAAGCTGAAAATCTTCTGTGATTTGTTTCTGCCCAAAGGTGAGTTTTATTAAAAAGCTGTAGCCTCACTTCACGACTTGGAGGTGAAATACATTCTCCTTAGTTCTGTGGTGGTTTTCTTCAAGTTCTTTCTAAAAGCTTCTGACAAAAAGGAGACTGTCTTTTGAGTTAAGACATGGAAATTTGAGTCACATTTTTTTTTTTGAGGGTTAAAATACTCTGTGTTTCTGCAACAACTCTCTGTGAGTCTGTGCTGATGAGAGAAATAACGAGGGACTAATTTCCAACCTCTTCCTTCCTGCTCCCTTGTGCACAGAGTGTAACCACACTTCCTCTGTGGGTTCATTTGATCCTCCACTTCAGCCAGTTCAGCAAATCTGGCTGAACAGGCACAAAAATGTCACAGATGTGACAATGTTCTTCCAAACTGCTGCAGCACCAACTTCCTCATGTCACATCGGCTCTGCCAGCCCGGGGAGCCCTGGGGAACAAGCCCTGCAGGGAGAGGGTGGGACTGGCTGTTCCTCTCTAGCTCTGCTCTTTTTTTTTGCTGTCATTGACTCCCTTATTTTATTCTCCAGTGATTTAGGCCCTCTCTTCCTTGTTAAATCTCATGAGGTTCCCATGGGCTCTCTTCTCTACCTTGTCCAAGTCCCCCTGGATGGTTTGTCACCCACGTGCTCAGCTTGGTGTCCCTTGGTGAAGGGACCTTAAACACCAGCAGGTTCCACTCCCTGCCGTGGGCAGGGACACCTTCCACTAGACCAGGTTGCTCCAACCTGGCCTTGGACACTTCCAGGGATCCAGGGGCAGCCACAGCTTCTCTGCCCAACCTGTGCCAGGGCCTCACCACCCTCACAGGGAAGATTTTCTTCCCAATATCCCATCTAACCCTGCCCTCTGGCACTGGGAAGCCATTCCCTGTGTCCTGTCCTTCCATCCCTTGTCCCCAGTCCCTCTCCAGCTTTCCTGGAGCCCCTTCAGGCCCTGCCAGGGGCTCTCAGCTCTCCCTGGAGCCTTCTCTTCTCCAGGGGAACCCCCCCAGCTCTCCCAGCCTGGCTCCAGAGCAGAGGGGCTCCAGCTCTGGCAGCAGCTCCGGGGCCTCCTCTGGACTCTCTCCAGCAGCTCCACGTCCTTGTGCTGTTGTTCCTCAGGGCTGGAGGCAGCTCTGCAGGGGGGTCTCATGAGACCAGAGGAAAGGGGCAGAATCCCCTCCCTGAACTCAAACCCTCTCAGAACAGCAGGGAATTTCTGCAAAGGATGGCCCTTTGTGTTCAGTGCCATCGCTCTCCCGATTAACGCTGAGATCAGTGCCCAGTTTGATCAGTGCTCTCCATGATTTAGTCACAGAGGAGCCCTTGATTTGGGCAGGTATTAACCTGCAGGGCTCCATTTTTGGGAGCTGCACAGGTTTCCTTGAAACAGGATTGTTAGTTTTGAGCAGCAGCTGCTGCCCAGTGTGAAAGAATCCTTTGGGCTGCTATAAAAGAAGAGTTACTCTAAAATATTGGAGTCCTCCCAGGCTGTCTGTGCTCAAAAGCCCCGTTAGAGTGAAAAGTTGAGAATCCCTGGGGAGGGAATTGATGACACGAAGATCCATGGCTTTGGAAAGAGGCTCTCATAGATATATTTCTCCTCTAAACTGGCAAAGCAGATGGGAAGATGAGAATGAAGTTACAGAAGGGATGGGAGAGTGTGGAAAGGAAGTTGTTAAACACCTCATTAGGAAAAGCAGTTAAACACTTTATCCCCCCTTTCCCTGCACTTCTCCAGCTTGGGTTTATGGATTGGTTTGTCTGTGCCAGGTGCTGTTCAGCCTGGTGTGCTGGTTTAAAGGTAAACCAGCAGGGGAAATGAACCCAACTCAAAGGAGAGATTATAAGTCAGAATAACAATTTCATAAAATAATACAATTAGTACGATTATACAGACAAACAGTTGGTTTTAACCCCCAAACCCCAGATG